GTACATTTGGTTTTTCTTGCCTAAATGTAAACCTTACTTTTTTCACCATTGAATTTCATTTTGTTAGATAGAGCCCAGTGTTCAAGTCTGAGTAAACATTGCTGACTCTTCAGTCACAACTTATACTATTTGCTTTGATAATGGGTTCTTAAAAAGTCAACAACTTTCCTATTTTGTTACATTTGTCTTGGCCCAACAAAGGTATTGTTTCAATATAAAATATTTTTCTCTAAGCCAACATTCCTTTCATACAACTCAGAGCTAATCCTCACATCCTGTCATCTGTGGTACAAGACTGCCCTGCTAACCATTTTGGAGGACATGTTCTCATAAATACAGCCATTGTCTCATTTAGCCCACTGAAAAGGCAGCCTAAATTTAACTGTTCCACTTTAATAATTTGCTGTTTTTCTGACCCAAATTTTAGCATACAAATGAACTTTGATGCTTCAAATGCAGTCTTTGTGATGACATAGCCAGTGACTGGCATCTGCTGTGCTTCTGTTGGTCAACTGAAACTGCTTTGGGCAACTTCCTTTCCCTGGTCACTGTTTTATGCTTCCTATGACTATTTTGGCTTACAGGAGAAACTATATTTCTGGTTTCCATGTAGGTATGTTTCATGTAATGCCTGACCCATGTTTCAAGAGTTTCAAGGCTCTTCAAGCGTACCCAGGCTCTTTCCTGGATAAACCAGTCTCCTGGAAGCCACTAGGCCTGTTATTAAACATTTGTTCAGTTGTTTTTCAAAAGGCAAATAGCCCTGTCTGGAAAAATAATAAAAGGTTTGTGGTGGTAGGTGGATCATTTCATTTGGAAAGAGATGTTTTGCTGATTCTGTTCTAAATGAATGCACAACGGTTTTCTGCTGCTTTTACCACAAGGAGTTTTGCATGCCCATCCCTATTTTGGGAGAGGGGCAGTGCTATTTTGCCTACTTTATTACCATTTTGCAAACACCAAAGGATAATCCCAGGTGTTGCCAACTATGGCCACAGTCAGCCAGCACTTCCATTTCCTTGCAGTAATTTTGTGCATGGAATAGTCTGCAAATGATGTGAAATCAACAGGAGTTATTATTTACAAGACTTACATAGCCACCTAGTCCATATAATAACTTAAGGCAGCTTACAAGAATCCATAAATGTGTGATTAAGCTGCCAATCCAAGCATCTTCACAGCTCAACCTCATCCTAGCCCAATTCTTGGGAGAAGAGCCAGATCATCACAGCCCTTCAGAAGACTTAAAGAGTAGGGATACTTCAGCTCTTAGGGGGGAGGCCGTTCCAAAGGGGTGGGGCAGCCACTGAGAAGGTGGGCCTCCAAGGTCCCATCAGGTTGCAACATTTAGTTTTTTTACAAATGCACTCGCATAAAACAGTCTACCAATCTTCTTGAAGACTGGCATGATTTTGCCCCCAAAGAGCCCAGCCAAGGTCAGTGGGGTGGAGGATGAGTCAGGGAGAAATAGCATGGAGTTTTTTTTAAATATGCTGGAGGAGAAGACAGTAGATTATTCAGAAATAGTCAGTGACAGGTTACTGGGCCACATATAGCTTACCTAACTAACATTCAGCTATTATAAAGATTTCTTCTGTCCAGCCGTGACCGACTCTAGAGGGTGCTGCTCATCTCCATTTCTTAGGTAAGGAAGCCAGCGTTGTCCAAAGACATTTCCATGGACATGTGGCCAGCATGACTATATGCCAAAGTGCTGCTCCCCACCAAAGTGGTATCTATTTATCTATTCGCATATACATGTTTTCTAACTACTAAGTGGGCAGGAGCTGAGGCAGGTAACGGAACCTCACCCTGTTGTGTGACACTTGGATCTGGAACCTGGGCTCTTAACTTTTCAGCTGGCAAGCGCAGCTTCTTAACCGCTGAGTCATCATGCCCCTCTCCAGCTTATAACTTACCTAACAATCCCAGCATTTGAATTTGGTATATTCATTTTATTTCTTTATTAAATTTATATGCTGACCACCTCACAGTTTGAGGCGACTCTGAATGGATATAAACTACTAAACAGTCTAAGACAGTGGTGGCGAACCTATGGCATGGGTGCCAGAGGCGGCATGCAGAGCCCTCTCTGTGGGCACGCCTGCTGTCATCCCAGTCCTAGGCCTTCAGCTAGGTTTTATAAAACCTTTTCGCTTTTGGCCTCCGCTGCCGTGTGCAAAAAAAAAAAAAAAAGTTTCAATCAGTCAATTTCAACTTCTTGCGGGAAAAAAAAAAGATCTTGCAAAGTTGGAATTGATTGATTGAACTTTTTAGTCCCACCCAGTCTGCTGTTACCACCACAGCCATGCCCACCCAATGGGCCATGCCCACCCAATGGGCCACACCCAGCCAATAGGCCATACCCACCCGGCACTCGACGATGCATAAGTGCGTTTTGGGTTGCAGTTTGGGCACTCTGTTTCTAAAAGGTTCGCCATCACTGGTCTAAGATAACCAGTTTGGGCTTGTAGTTAAGGCTAGACACTGGGAGATCCTGAGCTCTAGTTCCACTTTAGGCACAAAGCCAGGCGGCTAACTTTAGACTATTTACTTTCTCCCAGCCCTAGGAAGAAACAAGGGCAAACATTGCAGTGGTAAGAGCACCCTGGAATACTGCATCCAGTTTTGGTCACGATACAAAAAAGATGTTGAGAAGCCAGAAAGAATGCAAAGCAACCAAAATGCTTAGGGGACTAGGGATTAAATTGTACAATTGTTGAAAGAAAAGTCTTCATTGTGGTTCATCCAAGCTGGGAATAAACATGGCAACTGCTTTGGGAAGAAGGTTGTAGTTTATTGGAGAGAAGACCCAGACAGGAAGATGGTTCTGGCAGCAAGAGAAGTGAAAAAAAGGGCTGAACACATGTAGGGAGTAGGTTTTTATACCCTCAGAAGCCTTTTGTTTGAGGTTATTTCCTGTTCTTGTTCTGAGGCTATTTCCTGTGTCATGTATTCTGACCTGAGTTTGGGTGTGCCCTTTGGCCTTTGTGAGTTAATCCTACCATGTCCTGTCTCAGGTGGGGTATGCAGATTTTAGATCTTTGTCTTCCTAATCTCCTAGCTCCAACTTTGCTGATGGTTTACATCTGCATTTGTACAGAGCTGGCTTCTGCTTGGGGGAGGCAGACTTGGGGCTATTAAGAAAACTTGGCAGGCTTTCCTGCCCTTTCAAGATCCTTTGAGAAAATATATTTTCCTGCCCTTTTAATATTTCCTTCTCTGGGGAGCTGACTTCCCACACAATGAACATTTGTGAGAACTGGGAATGTCTAGTCCAGGGCTTTTCAACCAGTGGTACGGGTACCACCTGTGGTATATTAGCACCTGGAATGTGGTACGCGACCATCCTAGAAAAGTGGTAGCGGGGGAGGGGAATGAGTTGAACCGGTGGCAGCACCGCACAAGCCTGAGCAAGAGATGGCTGGAGCTGCAGGGCTGTCAGGGCTCAGCGGAAGCGCCGGGATCAGCGCTTCTTCGGGATTGTCAGGGCTCAGCGGAAGCACCAGGATCAGCGCCAGGCTCCAGTTGGAGCTCGGCGCTGATCTTGGCGTTTCTGCTGAGCCCAGCAGAAGCGCCGATCAGCTGGAATGTTGCAGCATCTCCAGGGTCTTGTGATTTACATTCAGATGCTTGGCAACTGATTCATATTTATGACGGTCACAGTATCCCAGGGTCATGTGAAGTGACCAAAACCTGCTGCAACCACCCAGCAGACAGGGGGAATAAAAACCAAACACTCCCCACCCCACCCCCGCTGCCAATCCTCAACAGAAATGCTCACAACAATGAAAACAGGAGGAAGAGCGCCGCCGGGTGGCCAGGCAGATGTCTTCCTCCTCTGTGCCTTGGGGGGCACTTTTTTCGGTGCCATTGTAACTTCGAACAATCATTAAGCGAACTGTTGTAAATCAAGAACTACCTGTACTTTATCATTTTTTCCTTTTTTTTTTTTTGACACCTTGCTAGGCAACTGGTGGTACTCGGATGTTGCCATATCCTAAAAGTGGTACAATGAGTGAAAGGGTTGAAAAGCCCTGGTCTAGTCTAATGAAAAGGACTACAGGTGACTTGATAGTAGTCTAGAGGTGATTTGATAGCAGTCTATTTGAGGGGTTGTCACATAGAGAAAGGGATCAACCTATTCTCCAAAGCACCTGAGGTTGAGATAAAAAGTAATGGATGGAAGCTTAGCAAAGAAAGGGCCAAACTAGAATTAAGAAGAAATTTCCGTTGTTGAGAACAATTAATCAGTGGAATACCTTGCCTACAGAAGTTGTGGGTGCTTCACCATCAGGGGGTTTTAAGAAGAGATTAGACAGCCATTTGTCTGGAATGGTATGCAGGGGTAGGCAACCTTGGCACTTTTATGACTCATAGACTTCAACCAGCCAGCCATGCTGGCTCAGGAATTCTGGGAGTTGAAGTCCACGAGTCATAAAACAGCCAAGGTATGCCTACCCCTGGTATAGGGTCTCTTGCTTGAAGGGGGGTTGGACTAGAAGACCATAAAGTTCCAAATTTTTATATTGTTCCTGTTACTTCTGAAAAATCTTGCAGGCACATTATTTTATAAATCTTAAATGTATTTGTTTTTAAAAAGTTGGCTACTTTTCTTGTAGATGTAGAAGAATTAGGATACTAAAAAGATGAAAACTCAAGCACAAAAATAAAGAATAAAAAGCACCAGGGCATAAAGAAGGCTAATAATAGCCAATTACTAATAATAAAAATCAGAAATCCTTTTTTCCCTGGAATTTCTGGTTTTAACTTTGATGTGAAGCTTCTTCTGTGCTTTTGAAGCCTGAAATGAAAACAAAATTAAAATCAACCCTGGAGAAATCGCTAGCGTAGACTAAGAACGTTCCCAGTAACGACTAAATTTAGCGTTCTTCATCCAGCAGTGGATGACTAAATTACTTCCTTGCCTCCAGGACTACAGCTCCCAGAAAGTATAGCGCGGCAAAACCCCCAAAGTCTTTCAGTATTCCCATCGCGTCTCTCGGTTGTTCTCGCGATACTTGGCTTTTCTGCCTCTCACCGGCCTAGGTGGCTTCAGCCCATCCCTGCACCTGGTTATGGCCGATCCCAAGTATGCGGACTTGCCCGGCATTGTGAGTGGCATGAAAGAAGCCCCTGCGGGGAGAAAGGAGTGGGGGCGGGGGGAGGCTGGTGCCGCGTTAAGGATGGAGGAGCATGAACCGCGCCTAGGGAGAGGAAAAGGGTGGGATCGGAAAGATTAGTGGAACTGGAGATACGGGGCTGCAGGATGCGGGATGGCTGGATGAAGAGATGGGTGGGAGAAGAGAAGAGGAGCACCTGAACATAAAGTGGGCCTTTTGATTCGCGCCAGGGAGTGGAGCTCCTTCGTCTTGGCTGAGATTAGAGAGGTTTAAGGGAAGCCCAAAGCTCAGCCTCATCCCAAAGGACGGGCAGCCGGGACGACAGGATGCCATTAAGAAAGGAGTGCCCCTGAGGTTGTGCAGACAGGCGGGGATCCCCTGCAGAAAGAGCAGGGAGTATTGAATAATATTCTGGAGGACAGATGTTGCCAGCTCGTTTCCCACACTTTTCAGAATACAAGGCTCTCTGTGTCTGTTGGCTATTGTTTATATCTGGACTTAATTAAACTATAGTTAGGTGAAAAAGAGCCATAATGGAAATTGAAGAAAAGATTGATAATGAATGTTGCATGTGATTTTGTTGGTGCAAACTGTACCAACTCATTGTAGAGTTGACACAAACATAGAAAGTATAAGCAAAATGTTTCTTAGAGTCTTTTCCTCATTCTCACATCTTCCCCCTAAAATACTTTACACTTCTCTCTGGCTTTTCTCCACCACTGCCAGGGTGATAAAATATAGTTGAAGGAAGAACATGAAAATTAGATATTCCCATCAAAAGCTATTCCAGAATATAAATGTCTATTAGTGATAACATGGTGTGCAAATCCAATGGCACTTTTCTCTAAAGACAAGTATGATGACGATACTTTTGTTCCAATGTCTTAAATGCAGGGTATGAGAGAATGAAAAGTTGCTGCTGCTAGTTGCTGACTGAACTGCCAGACAACACAATAATCAATAAATTGTGCTTGTCTCAGTTAAAAAGGGTCTAGTATCACATTGAAGGATATAACCTAAGGTTTGGGTTGCAGACACTTTATAGGTATTTTATCTGGAGTAGATAGGAACCCTAAGGGATGGCACATTCCATGCCCTGTAGCAACATCTCTCTATTTTGTCCTGTCATTGGAGTAATTCAGCATTTGTGAGGGATTATTGCTTAGTGGTTAACGGCTTACTCTGCACACAGGAGATTCTGCATTCAGTCCCTGGCAGCTTCAGTTAGCTTGCATAGCAGGAAATCTTGAGATTCTGGAGAGCCAACACCTAGCTGGAATAAACATTGCTAACTAAGCAGCTTTGTTTCGTCTGTATGTTGTACTGTAAAATACAAATGAATTAAAAGTTGATTAAAATATGTGGATTCCATATTTTTTTTAAATGTACAGTGTTAGGGAAGACTACTTTATATTTTAGGAAACATGCCAGCAATCAGCAGGGCTTTAATAAGATAAAACTGAATGAGTTCTGCCTAACCCAATTGGTTGTTGTTGTTTAATTCAGACATTGTGGTATTTTTTTGTTAGAGAGCTATTCTGAAATAATATGGTTTCTTATTGTCAAAAGCTGATTTGCAGAATGTTTCATTTTTCACTACATATAGAATTTCCCCTCATTCCCTTGAAAGGACATTTGCTTTTCCCATATTTTTGCAGGTATGTGACCTTACTGCTCACATTTGGGCAACATTTACTGTTCACATTTGAGCAACATTTTGTTCTACTGGGCACTCAAAAACATCCCAATGGAACTGCTTCAAAAGTTCTTGGGTGCATCTAGCAATGTGCGAGCGAGCATTATCGTGAACCAACACCACACCGGAAATCCGCATGCCCCAATGCTTGTTATGGATGGCTCTCCTGAGTTTTCATAACGTTTCACAGTAGAAGTCTGAACTGATGGTCAAACCACACTCCATGAACTTCACTAGCACTCCTTTGGTATCTTCACATTTGGCGGGATTTTCTATGACACCACTTCCGGTATGGTGTTGGTTCACAATAATAGTCGCCCACACATCTCTAAACGCACCCAAGAACTTTTGAAGCAGTTCCATTGGGATGTTTTTGATCAACACCCCCCCCCCCCAATAGCCCAGATTTGGTGCTGAGCGACTACTACTAAGGAATTTCAAATCTTGTAAGACGTTATGACAAGTGCCTCAATTTGAATGGTGATTATGTCGTAATATAATGTTGTAGTTTTCTAATATGTATAATAAAAGTTCTGTATCTGCGGGTGTCTGTCATTGATAACCAAATGGAAGTTTATTGCCCTCGTGTATATTTCTCATTGCACCAGAGTTGATCACAGTATGTACATTTTTCTGCTGAGAGTTTTTTTAAAGTACTCCATCATGCCTTTTGCTAATGACCATGCACCTGGTTGCCTGAGTTGATTTAATACTGATGAGGCCAATAGTTTGTGATTCTGCTGGAGTTTATAGGCCTGGTTCTGAACAGCAGAAGTGGTAATATCAACTACTGATTTAGCCATCACTATGTATTTTCTAAGTGAGGAAACACCACAAATAAGTCTGTAGATTATACATGCAATTCAGTCAGGTTCATTAATCTCCCTTGAATTTTTCCCTTTGAATCTTTACTTGTTATTGAAAAGGTTTTATTAAGGCTGAATAATTGAAAACAGCAGCATTAAGTTGTGAATGGGCTAATAAATATTCTCTGGGCCAGTATGTGGGATTTATTTATTTTTAAGTTTCCCAGCTCTATCCTGCCTCTGGGCAACATAAAACATAAGATAATTAAAAATAAAAATATACAAGGATCTTACAAAAGAAAAGTTTGGAAAACCTATTACTTAACTTTAAGTGTGGTCCATATTGTTATGTTCTCTGATTTTAGTTCTTTAGATAAAAAGAGTTAATTCATACTGTTATTAATTAATGATAGATCTTTTTTAAAGAAAATGCTATTGTAGTAGGTCCCTTCAGAATCTGGATTAATATTCTGATTTTTTTTTCTCATTGTTTTTCAGGCCAGGAATGAGCCTGATGTTTATGAAACAAGTGACCTCCCTGAAGATGATCAAGCAGAATTTGATGCGGTAGGAACATACGAAATTCTATTGTTTTTTTAAAAAAAATTATGAGTATTAAATATGTAGCCCTCAGACTATTTTCAAAAATGTCATTTCATCAGTAGTGACTTGTATTGCCTACTATTGTGATAGAGTGACCAAATGAAAGGAAATATGTAAATTGGAAAGAGATATAATTTGGTATTTTAAATCTTTGTTAAAGAGAACTGGATTTCATATAACTGAAATAAACCTGAATAAACTTAAAAACATCAATCTGTTAAACTATTGATCTCCTTGACTGCTTCTCGCTTCCTTAATGTGAGTCCACAAAATAATTCTGAACTGTAGATTTTCTAAGGAGAATATTTGTTGTTTTGTAATAACAATTTTCTAAATCAAGATTAGATATTAGACAATTGCTTTGAAATCTTTCAAAGTTATTTTTATTCCTTCTTGTCTGAAAAGAGTTGTTTTTGTGCCTTTGTATATGTGTGAGGCTTTTTAATGTGTTTTTTATTAGTTATATATGAACTTTAGTCAGTTTATATTCAAGTGCAAGATTCCCTTGACGTCTTCTTAAAATTCTTGGTGGAAATCCATCAGTAAAGCTATACTGGGCAAGCATTAATTGACTTTGGTGATGAGACCTTTGCTGTAATGAACAATTAATTGGTTTTATACTCGTTGCTTTACTTGATTCTTGTAGGTTGCTCAGAATTGCTTTTTATAAGCTGGACAGCTATACAGATTTGATTAATAAGAAAAATAAATAAAGCCAAGCTTTTACAATTAGATGTAATAGTTAGTAGTCCCAGTCTGAAAGAAAGCATTCCAGGAGAAGCTAGGGAAAAAAAAATCTTAAATGGTTCACAACTGGCATGAATTTTAAATTATCATAATATATTACGAGTTTGATATTTGGAATTAGGCTTGTATTTCTTTTCTTTAAATATTTGTAACCAGAAATTTCTGAAAAGATTAGATGTATCATTTGATAAGCTAGACTTCTTTATATATGCAGTGTTAAAAATTTATATTCCACATTCAGAAAAGTAAAATACTTGAATTACAAGAGACACTATCACAAGTTTAGGATTCTAAGATTCTGTATGCCACAATATATAATTCCCAAGGAAGCTATTTTATGTTTCTTCACCTAATGAAAGTAAATTCAATATTACACAACTTAACTATTTTGCAGTTACATAAACTTTCATTTACAGCTGCACAAGTAGTCCTTGTTTAGCAACTCTTTTGTTTAAAGATTGTTTTCAATTATGATAGTAATTACAATGTAAAAAGTAAGCTTATGACTAATTCTGACATTTATAATCTTTGCAGGTTTGTAAAGTAGAGCTGAAGGAGGATAAGCACAGTTGCAATTTTACATAGTGACCCTTTTGCTTAACAACCAAATTGCCAGTCTCAATTGTGACTGTTATTTACCTTATAGTAAATATATTTAATTGCAAACATAACCAATAGCTTCATCAGTACAACTTTACTTCTTACAACTATAGACCTAGGTTGTTGTTTTTTTAAAAGAAAAAGAAGATAATAAGGCTGACTTCTATGCAATATTCTCCATTTCCACTCCATCCATACTGCTATATTAAATAGGCCCCCTTTTCAAATTAGGTGGATCATTACAGTTAAGTGGGATTTTTATGCATTCATAGTTAAATTAGTCAAATGTGAATTTCCTAGTTCTCATTTTGCTTCAGGAAATAATCCTCTTTGTTATTTCAAGGAATACAAGAGCCCCGGTGGCGCAGTGGTTAAAATGCAGTAATGCAGGCTACTTCTGCTGACTTCCTGCTGCCAGCAGTTTGGCAGTCGAGTCTCACCTGCTCAAGGTTGACTCAGCCTTCCATCGTTCCAAGGTTGATAAAATGAGGACTCAGATTGTTGGGGGCCATAGGCTGACTCTGTAAACTACTCAGAGAGGCCTGTAAAGCACTGTGAAGCGGTATATAAGTCTAAGTGCTATTGCTATACAATCAAAATGACATTCAGATAATACAAATACAAGTATGTTTGTTACAAGGAACTTGGTTAAATATTGTGTCCTGCTACTCAAATCTTGCTTCAGTGAACACCTCTGTAAGATGCTTTCTATATTTAAATATTTTGCAGTTCAGAAGGTATTTTTATAGTGGCTCATTATTATAACGATTTTTTTGATCCAATTGTAGAACATACGTTGTTTCTCTTGGCAACAAAAGGAGACCCAGGCAATACTACAGGCAATTGCAGCCCAGGTGGCCTCCTTGACTTTTTTGAAAAAAGATCTTGATAAAAATTATGAAGATCTGAAAAATGATTTTGCTAAAATGACTCAAAAATTGAAAACTTTCAACAGGTGATTACAGATAACCAACAAAGGATCCCAAAGGTAGAAGATAAATCAGTGGAAGTTGATCATAAATTAGAGTGCTTACAAGAGGAGAATCAAAGACTGGCTCAAACAAATATGGAACTGGAAGATTCCCTTACGGTCATAGAGATGGAAAGAGCATCATACTTTTTAAGATTCTAAAACATAATAGAAGAGAAGGATTAGAATGTGTTAGGACTGATAGTTGAGCTACTTTCAGACCTTTTAGGAATGGGAAAGACTCAAATGGAAGGAGTAATAGACCAGGCCTTCAGAGTTAACTCAAGCTATGCCAGAAGAAACAGAGGTCCTAGAGAAGTCCATGTTAGATTCCTTAAAAGATCTATACGAGATCAGATTTTGAGAATAGTAAGAGACCAACCCTTAAAATACAAAGAAAAAGAAATACTAGTCCTTAAGCAAATGCCTAGAAGGATTAGAGAGGCTCGAAGAGACTATTTGTTTTTAACTAGGAAATTGATTAACAAAGGAATAAACTTTAGATGGTTGGTTCCAGAAGGGATACTAATTTTCTGGGACTCGAAAAGATATAGATTGGATACCTCGCTTAAAGCAGCGGAATTCTTCAATAAGCACAGAGCCTTTTTGGAAAAAGGGGACCCTGAATCTAAAAAACAAGAGGAGATGGGTGCTGTAGGAGTGTCTGAACATTTAGAGGAGGAAGAAGTTAAAAAGACCACACCAGAGGAAGAAACAAGACCGAGAGATCAGAGACAAATAAGATTGCCTAGAAGATTGAGATCCAGATACAACTAAAGCAATGGACAAGATTGGAATCTTATCAATAAATATAAATGGATTGAATTCTCCATCAAAGAGGAGAAAAACTTTTACTAAATACAAAAGCTAAAAATGGACATAATCTGCGTACAAGAAACACATATTAAAAGACAACACGCTAGAATTTTAGAATAAACAAAAATGGGTAAGCTTTATTCCACACTTGCACCTCAAAAGAAAAGATAACCCTGAACAAGTTTATGTAGATGAAGAGGGGAGAATATTAATGGTGGAAATTATGCTCAATCAAAAACAGATACTGATGGTTGTGATATATGTACCTAATGATAAGCAAGAGCAATTCTACCACCAATTACACAACAAAATAATGGACTTAAACTACCAAAATCTTTGTATATTGGGAGACTTCAGTGCAATAGCAGATTCATCCTGGGACTATAAAAGTCATAAACAAGGGAGAAAAGGGGGAAATACTTTACCTAAAGCCTTTTTAAAAATGAAAGAAGAATTGTATATTCAAGATATATGGAGAGAGATGAATCCAGAAAAATCACAATATACATTTTACTCAAATAGACGTAAATCATGGTCTAGAATTGACATGATATGGACATCTTATGACTTGAAAATGATAATACAAGATATTGAGATAGAAACTAATGTCGGGCAGACCATAACCCAATAAAAATGACCTGGAAAGGTACCAAGAAAAAATTAAGATGTTCTTTGAACAGATCTGTACTGAAAGAGAAAGAATTTCTACAATTAGCGACAAGGGAAATGGAATTCTTCTTCAAAATAAATAGGAAAGAAGAAACCTCCCTTCAAAATGTGTGGGACACGGCCAAAGCATATTTTAGAGGCTTGACTATAACATATACTGCCAAAAAGAATAAAGAAAAGAAACAATTACAGTCAAACCTGAGAGAAGAACTTAAAAATTTGGAATCTGAATTACAATCTGATCCACAAAAGAAAATCCTTAAGAAACAAATGGAGATAATAAAACATAAATTAAACTTGGCAGAGATGGATATATTGGCACAGCAGATCAAACGGTCTAAACAGAATTTCTTTGAAAATGCCAATAAGCCGGGAAGATGGCTTGATTATAGGCTAAAGAAAGAAAAGGAAAAAAGACTGATAAGTAAACTACAAGACTCAAAAGGAGAGCTACATTTTCATAACGATGCAATGAAACAGATTATTAAGGCCTATTATGAGACACTATAAGGCAGAAGTAGTTTCTAAAGAGGAAATACAGGCTTACTTGAAAGAAAGTGATTTGCCAAGAGTCCCGGAGAATATTAGAAATATACTAAACCAGAAAATATCAATGATGGAGATTATAAAAGCCATAAAAAGGCAGAAAAAAGATAAGACTCTGGGTCTAGACAGACTTCCTGCAGAATTCTACACAGTATTCCAGGACTTATTAAGCCCGATTCTGAAGGAACTGTGTAATGAAATTTTCTTAGAGACAAAAATACCAAACTCGTGGTCAGAAGCTAATATTACCTTGATACCCAAAGAAGATCCTGACCTCACACAAATAAAAAACTATACACCAATATCGTTATTAAATGTGGATTATAAAATTTTTCCTTTGATAATGGCAGAAAGAATGAAGAACTTCTTGATAGAATTTATTCATACAGATCAAAACGGTTTCCTACCTAAAAGACAGATAAAGAATAATTTAAGGATTATTTTAAATGTCTTGGAATATTATGAAAATCATCCAGGGAAGCAGATGGTGCTGATATTTCTTGATGCGCAAAAAGCTTTTGATAATTTAAATTGGCAATTTATGTTCCATCAGCTGAGGGAAATGGACTTTGGCAACAACTTTATAAATGCAATTCAAGCAATTTATAATAAACAA